GAGAATTGGAGTTATGTGATCAGAAGTACGCGAGCAGGTAACTATCCTAGCCGCTGAATTCTGAATCAACTGTAGTTGATGAATTTGTTGAATCAGGAATACCAGAGAGAAGCGAGTTACAGTAATCAATCCGTGATGTAACCAAAGCATGAACAAGCACTTCAGTACTTTGTTGAGATAGTGAAGGGCGAAGTCTTGCAATGTTACGCAAATGAAAAAAGGCAGAACGTGAGATATTACTAATTTGAGAACTAAATGAGAGCATGCCATCCAGTATAACCCCAAGACTTTTCACTTGGGTTGAGAAATTGACTGGGGAGTTATCAACAAACAGGGTAAAAGATTGAGCTTTGGATAAAACAGATTTTGAGCCAACCAAGAGGGCTTCGGTTTTACTGGCATTTAACTTTAAGAAATTATTACAGACTTAATTCTCTCTATATTATTTCTTAAACTAAATCTTGTCTTAAACAACAAAAAATGGCATTAAAAGTTGCTTTGTTAAACTGTAGAGTTGAATTTTTAACATCAAAAGTCACCAGAGCAGATATAAAACTCCCATAATGCAATTCACAGCCGTCTTTCGTATGAGACGTTAAACCGAGCTCCTGACTCTCCGTGGTCATTAAAAACCCCTCTTGTATAGAGCAAAGGTGTAACCCCGCTGTCCAGGCCAAAATCCCTCAATTGGCCCCTTACAGTAATGGCCTCCCAAACATCCCCATCCACCAAATTGGTTCTATCACTTCTCTTCACCAATAGCTGGTGTGTGCTGAACACACTGGCGCCTTTGACTTGTGGCTGCCGTCGCATCATCCAAGTGGATGTTGCTCAATGGTGGTGGTGTGGAGAGAAAGGTGGACATGAGGGATATTTCAATGGTCCTCTGCGATACTGACAAAACAACTAAACATTCTGACTTGCAATGCTTAAGCAATGCCAAAGGGACAAAGGATTTTGGGGGCACTGACTGTTTAAATGAGAAGGAAATTTAGTTTTGACACAAGAGTGAACTGTTTTAGGAAATATATGAGCTGTTTCAAGAAATGAGTCAAAGCAAATGTGAAAAACTGTAATAAATTAGCAGAGAGTTGTATGAAAGGAATTAATGCATGTCCAAAAACATTTGCTATTTGTTGGACGATATTACAAAACTGCTACTATGATGTGCACAAGTGACTAATTGTTTTGAGAAATGCATTAACTGTAGTGCAAATGTAAATAGTGTTGTGAGAAATGCACCAAATCCACTGAGAAAAACTGTAATATTTAGATGAATTATTTAAATTGATAAATAATGTACATATGGGTCTAATGAAGTGCAATGATCAGTCTATGAGAGAAACTGAATAGTAATGTTTTTAACAGTTTAGTTTTACCATTTTTTAATCCATTCAACTGATCCTGGGTCTGGCGGAAAGCTTTAGCTTAGCCTAGCATAGATCATTGAATCAGATTAGACGATTAGCATATCTCTTTAAAATGACCAAAGAGTTTTGATTATTTTTACTATTTAAATCTTAACTCTTCTGTAATTACATTGTGTACACTTTGACAGAATATTAAAAGTTGCTACTTTCTAGGTTGATATGGCTAGGAGCTATACTATAATAATCAAGGAACTTTACTGCCGTATCATATCTCTAGCAGAATATTTGATATTACACAGCACCAAAACCTACACTTGCACCACCAGTTTGAATCTGTGAATTATTTTTGCGCCTGTGGCAGCCAAGGTACGGCATTAAAGTTCCATAATTAATTATTATGGATTCTTCAACAAGGGGCACTTTTAGCCTTGTGAAGTTGAACTTGTTCCAAATTAACGTAACATAGCCTCATAAGTTTAAACTATTTGTCTAGTTTTAAGATCTGTAAGAGGACAAACTTAGATAAAAAGTGAAAAAGAAATTTCCATCGTGAACTGAACAAATGTCAATTCCACCACATCTCAATATACAGCTTTTATTTCAAAAGGAAATAAACGATGGCAGTCAAACATTGTCTAAGATCAATTTTGTATCTAGTTTAACCAATCTTTCCACAATATATATAATAATTATACATTTGTCAGTGAAATAACTTAGTTGTATGCTGGATTGTACACCTGTCACACTCTAAAATTTTAAATTAATTTGATTTAGAGCTTATTAGAAAAATGAATAAACTGAATTTTTTTTATTAAATAGAGCATGAACTTATACATTGTAAATACACTTTTAATGTGTGTGGGGATGGAAATGACAGTGGTGGAATGACATTTCAACAGGTTATTGTTAAAAAGTTAGAGATAGCTTCACCGATTAGCTTTGAGTTGATACTAGCCTTTCATGTATACAAAGCACTCTTATTTACCTTCGTTTTGTTTGGTTTTTAAAAACATCTTTGAAGGTACAACAAGTTTGGAAATGACTTAGAATAAATATATTTCCTTATCAAGCAATATTTACCTTTTTCTTCAACTGTTGTAAATAAAAATTTAAATTCCCTCCATCTTGAACATGCGCTCAGATGGCACTATTCATTTTCATAGAAACCACCTAAATCAGGGGTGGCCAATCTTGTTCCTGTAGAGCTACCTTCCTTCATATTTCAGTTGCTACCCATTTCAAACACACCTTAACCAATTAATTAGGACCTAAACACCACGTGATCATTACAGGCAGGCGTGTTGATTATGGGTTGCAACTGAAATCTGCAGGAAGGTAGATCTCCAGGAACAGGATTGGCCACCCCTGACCTAAATAGTCTTTCACATAAACTTTTTAAAGCGACATTACAATGTTGTGGTGGAAATGACACTGATACTGTGCGACAGCTATATTTAGCATAAAAAAATTATATTGATAATAGTCTCACATTAACAACTATAAATGTTTTAAATGATTTCACTCATGCTTCATTAAGATACATTAATAGATACCAGATAAATAATATTTTAAAATGTTATTTTCATTGTTGAAGTTTAAAACTCTGGGTGTGCGACAAGGTGAAAACAGTGATTTTGATCCCTAAGAGAAGGTTGAATATTATGACAAATATATAATAGAAAGCTAGTAAACTTTTTAAAATAGGTTTTATTGTTAGTTTGACAAAGAAAAAGGAATTTGGAAATATATATATATATATATATATATATATATATATATATATATATATATATATATATATATATGATCAAAGGACAAAAAAGTGCCCGTAGCTGAAGAATTACCCTATGTCAGAATGAGAGTATAGTTCCTTGCCACATCAATCAACAAAATAGCCACTTTTCATTGTTCAATTGGTCTTAGTACACATGCAAGTACAAAATAGTGAAGTTTTATATACTAAAATTATCAAAACTCTTTCTGGACATGTTGAGTGAGACGCTACTGGTCTAATCGAATTCAATAATTTATGCTAAGCTAAGCTAAAAAAACTCCCTCCAGTCCTGAAGATCGGCTGAAAGAATTTAAAAAATTGTAATTTTTGTTGAATGTTTAATCTTTTTTTTTTTAAGCAACATAGGCTCATTCTAAAAACGTAGCCCTATATACATTTCTGGAGATTGTGAATTATGTAGATTATGTATTATTATGTAGAATTATGTATGCCAGAAGTATGTATGGCTACATTCAATTTTTAAAATGAACGCAATGGGGCGTTATGACGCCGTTCCTTTTCTCGCTTACCAGCCGACCGCTTACCTCCATACGCCTTCCCACTGTTATCAGTTTGTCCAGTTAGCGTGCCATGTATGACGGTGGACTTGAGACAGACAGGAGAAGACCACAACGACAGAGTTCGAGTCCAGAAAGCAGGCAAGACACAAACTGAATCTGAAAAATAAAATAAACAAGTGAATAACAGGGTGAGAATGTGACAAAATGTGGTAAAAAAAAGAACAGGTGAGGGCTTTTCTTTCTCTGGAATGGTTTTTATAAATGTCAGTTTAGGGCAGTGGGTAGGCGGGTCAAAATACTATTGTGCTTTTTAAAATACTATTGGTGTGCTTTTTAAAATACTATTGGTTGCGTTTAGGGAAGGAGGAGGGTGGGTTAGTGATTGGTCAGCCAGTCTGTTAGCTGCGCCTCAAATGGCACACTATACACTATGCACTATGTACTTATACACTTACACACTCAACAGCATATAGTATATGTATGTAGTGTCAACCCAAATGGCACACTAAGGTTTTTTCCGGAAATTCAAACCGTTTCCCTGATGACATTTCACGGTTGCCAAATTAGTGGAATAAATGACCTATTAACATATTACTCAAGTACTCAAGTATCAAGTATCTGCCATGAGTATAACCACATTTACCATAGGGAGGCGGCGAGGCGCTAAAATCACTCTCATAGAAGAATTTTGCTTTTACCATCCAAAACAAAAAAAGTTATCCAACATGTGCGCCCGATAGCTCCACCCCTTCCGCTACGTGAGAAAAGCTGCGACTGTTGAGAAGTGTCCATCATTCCACACTTCATTCTACCGGCTGAATGAGTGCATCATCTGGGTAACTAAAGTGCACTTATTATTTTTAGAGTTTTCAGTGTGAACGCACTACTTACACTATTTACTCTACAAAATGGCGTAGAATAGTGCATAAGTATGCGATTTGGGACGCAGCTAGTCATTCAGTCAGTCAACAGCGGCCTCTGGTGGATTTACACGAGAACAACAGGCGCGAATGGCACTAGAGAGAGAAATTCAAGATCTCAAAAAAGCGGAAACAGCACCCTCTGGTGGACTCGCGAAAACAAACTGCAAAAAAAAAAACTTATTTGAAAAAATGCAAATAAAAAAGGAGTGCTTTAAGTTCAGCATACTTGAAAGGGGTGTAGTCGGACTGCTCAATCAAATGGAACTTTACCTGAGGGAAGGTCACCAGACTGAGGCCCTTTACAGGTTCAATGATCCAGATCTAGCTTCTCTACTGGTCCTGCGTCCCATGAGTCACTCCTGCCCTCTCACCTCCACAAGGACACATAAAGCACTTTAACTTAAGCCCTGCTGGACTTCTAGGTTTCCTCAATGGCAGAGAACAAGCCGTATCGCTATGGGCTCATTGTTTTGGGAATGGCGTTCGTGGCGTTGGGTATGTTCATGATTTCTGTGGAGGAGCCTCATGTGTTCGTCACGTTCTGCGCTATGGGCGTGATAATGATGGGCATAGGGACTGTATGGACTGTGTGCCAGTGTTATCCCAGGGTAAGAGTGTTATACTGTTTGGTTATAGATTGATTTTATTATTATATTTGTAGCATTTATATTACCTATCAAACTTCAGGGATCAGCATGGTTTAAAAAAATCTTTTCAATGCTCACCATGGCTGCATTTGTTTGAACAAAAATACAGTAAAAAATATACAATTGTGGGTATCACTTTATTTTGATAGTCCCTTTAACATATTTTGTTGATTGTAAGTGACATTGAAACTCTATGGCAACTGATTCTCATTAGAGTTTTAGTAGACTGTAAGGTTGGGGTTAAGGTTAGTCGGAGTTGACATGTACAGTACTGTAGTTGCAAAGTCAGTTGAATGTCTGCTGGTGGAGCAGTGTCAGCAGACATTAAGCAAACAGTCTACTTATACTCTAAAATGAGAATTAGTTGGCATGTATGCAATGTAACTTATAGTCAACGAAATGTGCAAAATGGACCATCAAAGTTTATTCAATGTATCTTATTCAGTCAATATACCTTAAATTGTAATTTATTCCTGTAATTTAAAAATGATTTTTTAGCATAATTACTGCATTCACACGTCATAAATCACTCTAATATGATGATATGCCACTCAAAAAACGATGTATATTGGGCTGCTTCATAATTTATGGAAAATTAAATCTTTTTTATGGAAAAAAATCTTTAAATATGTTACTAAAAATTTATTTCCTTATGTATTTCCTTATGCATCAAAGACACATTAAATGCCGTTCAAGAGATAAACTTAATGAAAGTAAAGTAAAAAAAAGTAAAAAAAAAAGTAAAAAAAAAATCTTATAATTTCTGTTAAAGTTTCTTTTCATTAAAGAATCCTAAAAAGTAAAATGCACACTAAAATCCACAAATCTATAAAGCAATTAAAAACACAAATAACTTAAAAAATTTTACGGAATGATTGGGTGCCAATAATTTAGCAGAACAGCTTTGATTTACAGGCAAAAGAATGACATTATAGGGGTGGCACAGTGGGTTGCAAGATTGCCTCACAGCAAGAAGGTCGCTGGTTCAAGCCTCGGCTGGGTCAGTTGGCATTTCTGTGTGGAGTTTGTATGTTCTTTCTGTGTTTGTGTGGGTTTCCTTTGGGTGCTCTACAGTTTCCCTACAGCCCAAAGACATGCGCTATAGAATTGGATAAGCTAAATTGTCCATAGTGAATGTGTGTGAATTAGAGTGTATGGGTGTTTCCTATTTATAGGTTGCAGCTGGATGGGTGTCCACTGCATAAAACATATACTGGATAAGTTGGCGGTTCATTCCGCTGTGGCGACTCCTGATTAATAAAGGGACTAAACCAAAAGAAAATGAATGAATGAATGATTACATATTATATATATTTTTACATAATGCTTTCAGCGTATTATAACAGCTTGTCACCCAGTGACAAGCACAGTGATTCGACAAAATTAACGTTAAAGTGAGCAGCGTTCATCTGACAGGTCCATTTACAATAGCACCCTCTCAGTGAATATTGGATACGACGATATGGCCAAGCATCCAGCCCCAAATATACAATCCCATTTAAGCTCCAAGTGATTTTACAAGAGAGAAGATAAAGTCCTGCAAGACTTTGGATGTCAACAATGTTGTTCTGTGTGGTCATGTGCAATAAATAATGTTCCATGATTACCAGATTCAACACTATGTAGGGCTAAAAACAGAGGTTCTGCCTAGCCAAAGACAAGAAGACAGAGTTAACGTTATTCAAGTCCTGGGTAATCATCAACAAGCAAATCTACTGCATTCTGACAGCGAACTACACCCGTACTGCAGGGTTTGTGGACTTACACATAGAGGTAAAGTTGTTTTATTTTCGCACATTCGGACTTTCTATTTATTAATATAATTTTATAAAAGTATTATTTGCAAACTCTAAATAGCGAAATCATATTAGCAGCGAATAACTATCAAAGTACAACATTGTTCAGAGTCAAATAAACGGTGTTAATGTTGTTTTCAAGTCACACTTGCAGGTTAGTTTAGACTGAATATTTAAAGTGCCGTGGTACACAGTATAGGGAGCGTATGACAAATTGTCGCTGAATGAATGTGTGAATATAAAATCAACTTTACCTTAATAACTTACACTTTCACGTTTCATTCTTAGCATTCAGTGTCCACACTTAAATTCATCATATTTAACTGTTTTTGCTGAAATCATTCCTGCAATCAAAAACTAGTGATGTGTATGATTCAGCATAGCGTGAACTTACCTGACATAAAATGAGAATTGCTGAATCCAGCATTTTTAATTAGGTCGTCACTTCATTTAGCTCCCTTTTAGCCAAAGAACACATTTTTGGAAAAAGAAACAACAACAAAAAACAAAAGAAAAACAAAAACAGACAGGAGGGGTAAATACATTACACATTAAAGAAAAAGATTATATAATTTACAAATTTCAGTTGTTTTAAAGCCTTTTTTGTAAGAGTTAGAAACTGTTTCAAAGTAATTCTGCATTTCAGTAAGCAAAAAATAAAAGAAAGGTTTTGGGTTTGAAAATTTACATTTATATATATAAAATTTTGTAAATAAGATAAGAAGATTACGAAAATATGTTTTCTTTTCATGTAAAGCTTCTGTTTTATAATTAACAAAACCAAACAAAACATTTTCCCATAGTAAGGAAAATTCTTTATCAACATTCTCAATTATACAAAGAGAAAAATCCTTCCAAAGCAACCTAGAGTTATTGCATTTCCAAAATAAGTGAACCAGGGACTCAGGGTGCTGCCCACAAAATGAACAATTAGTATCAATATCTTTTTATATCTTACTAAAAGAGTATTGACTGGATATGTACGGTGAGTAATTCTAAATGAGCTTCTTTTATCTCATTTGTAATTAAGTAGCTATTTGGGATGAGACATATTTTTCTCCAATTAATATCTGAAACAAAAGAATTCCAATAAAAAGTTAAATTTGGAACTGAAACAGTTCCATTTAGAAATAAGAAACGTATTGATTTGTTTGAAGAAGTTGCAGAGAAACAACATTTTCCAATCATTGTAGTAGAAGGGTCTAAAAGAGGAAAAACAGAAGGATAGGGGATGCCTTGGAATTACTCCAGATGGTATAGCATCAAATACAACAGCAAATTCTTTAGGGGGGATGGGAATAGTGAATCGATTAAGAAATTCGTTATAATTTAATAAATGGCCATTTGAGTTAAATAATTTACTAACAAGTAGAATATTTGCTTCAAACCAGCGTTGAAAGAAAAGAGATTTGTTTTTATTTACAATATTTTGGTTGTTACAAATAAAATATTTGTGAGAGAAAAGTTGTGCCTGTATAATAGTGACCAGGCAAGAACAAATTGCTTATGAAATTGAGATAATTTAGCTGGTATTTTCTCAACATTAAAGTTACGGAGTAATAAGAAATGAAGCCCTCCAAATTTAGAAAATATGTATTTTGGAATAAAATTCCAGATTGAGGTTGGATTTTTGAGAAAATTTTTGCCCCATTTAATTTTGATAATGTTATTAAATGTTCAAAAATCCACCCTATAAAGACCCCCACTCTCAAAGCTATTCATAATTACTGATTTTTTAATATAATGAATACCATTTTTCCAAATAAAATTAAATAATATTTTATCAGTTTGATTCAAAATGGATTTGTCAACATGGAGAGATTGAGCAGCTTATGAAAGTCGAGAGATACCTGCCTCTTTAGTATGAAGAATTCTTCCCCTCAGAGATAAATCTTTCTGCAGCCATAAGTTTAATTTTCTACGAGTTTTCTCAATAATAGGATCAAAATTAATAGAGCATCTAACTTTTTCATTTTTACAAATAGAGATGCCCAAGTAAACTATAATATTGCAGCCGGTCTTTCTTTGTAACCGGGAACCCGTGTGATGTCATGTGTGACGTAGATTGGTATGTTATTAGGTTGGAGTTGAAATAGTGTTTTACATGTCTTATAGGTGACTGTTATACTGCAGGAGAAAGAAGAGCTCTGTGGGGCTGAAAAACAGGACCTGATTGAAGGAAGATCAGATGAAAAAAGGTTTGAGTAACATTATTACCACAATCATATAATTGCAGTATATTTGTTTTTAAAGAACATATCTTCAAGAAATTTCCCAAACACATTAATAAGAAGTCATGATCGGTCAAAAGTTTGCAAACAGGTATTTTCTGCACACCAAAGTTGCATTTATTTGATCACAAATGCAATATTGTGCCAATGTAAGTTTGCACAATATTGGCGGCTCCCGCCAGGTCTTTTAGCATGTAAGGGGGTCCGAAATCAAATAGGTCTCGAGAGCTCTCCCTAGTAAAGAAGAAAAAGGAGGAGATGGGGTGGAAGGGGGGATTCTTCCAAAACAAAGATACAGCAGCAGGGTGAAATCTGTCTATTTATAGAAGGCTTCGATCAATCTGAATGGATTATTACTGATTACGAATGAGAGACCAGCCATAATCAAACATATCGCGTGCTCCCCTCGAAATTAATTAAAAAGCTTCACTTAAAATATTTAACATTTATTCAAACTCTATTTTTGTTACTCAAAGCTACATTACTTGAGCAACAATTTTCAGTGTCATTTGAACCTTCAGTAATTATTCTAATACGCTAATTTGTTGCTTATTATAATCATTTATTATTGGTGCATGATCAATAATAGTTATTAATATAAATAATGAAAGCATTTTTCTTTAATTCATTCATTCTATCATTTTCTTTTTGGCTTATACCCTTTTTTAATCTGGGGTCGCCACAGCGGAATGAACCACCAACTTCTTCAGCATATGTTTTACGAAGCGGATGCCCTTCCAGCTGCAACCCATCACTGGGAAACATCCATACACACTCATTCACACACATACACTACGGACAATTTAGCTTATTCAATTCACCTATACCATATGTCTTTGGACTGTGAGGGAAATCGGAGCAACCGGAGGAGAACATGCAAACTCCACACAGAAATGCCGACTGACCAGCCAAAGCTCGAATCAGCGACTTTCTTGCTTGACCTTGGTTTAATCAATGGGACATTCAAACAAACTGCATGTATTTAAAGATGTTTGCAACACAATATAATTCTTACTGTCAATATTGGAATTGACTAATTAGGTCCGACCTTCAGATAAAGTGTCTCCATAAAGCTGTCTCAATAAGTAATCTCAGGAGATGTTTTAAACAAACAGAAAACCGAATTGTAAGATGTACAAAGTTATTTTTGTTTTTGAAGTGAACAGATACTGTAAATGATCTCCTGCACCAACATCCATTTATTCCTCATGTCTAACTCAATCTCTCTGTCATTACACTGAGCTCTGTGTGTTTATGTTTATCATTAGTTTAGGAGTTGAAATTTACTCCCCCACAACTGTGTTCAGCGCTGGGTTAATTTAATCTGGCAGACAGTGGATGAAATTATATGATAAGATTTTTTTTTTGAAAAAGGTTTAATCATCTATCTATCTATCTATCTATCTATCTATCTATCTATCTATCTATCTATCTATCTATCTATCTATCTATCTGTCTGTCTGTCTGTCTGTCTGTCTGTCTGTCTGTCTGTCTGTCTGTCTGTCTGTTTCAGTTTCCTTTATTTTTGTCATTCAAAACATCACAATAAAATAGTAAAGCAGAAGGAAATTACGTTGCAACAGACCCAACAAGAACATAAAAAAGCATCACTATACAAACACTATAAAATCCTAACATGATAAACATTCATTCATTTTCTTGTCAGGTTAGTCCCTTTATTAATCCGGGGTCGCCACAGCGGAATGAACCACCAACTTATCCAGCACGTTTTTATGCAGCTGATGCCCTTCCAGCCACAACCCATATCTGGGAAACATCCATAAACGCTCATTCACACACACTCATACACTACAGACAATTTAGCCTACCCAATTCACCTGTACCGCATGTCTTTGGACTGTTTCCACACAGAAATGCCAGCTGAGCCAAGGGTCGAACCAGCGACCTTCTTGCTGTGAGGCAACAGCACTACCTACTGTGCCACTGCCTCGCCAACATGATAAACAAGTTTTTTAGAATTTATCAAACGAGCAGTATTTGCTGGCAGATTCTTGTAGCAACAGGTTCATATATCAGTTTATATTACTCATTCTAACTCTTATCTCTGACGTTATTTTTGTCTTGTTCTGAGTTGGTGCAGCCGCAGCCAGCGAAGGCACCGCCAACCACCTTTTAATTAACTAATTATTTCTAATATCTGTCTGTCTGTCTGTCTATCTATCTACACTGTGAAAAAAATCCGTAATTTTACGTTTTTTTTCTGGCAGGTGGGGGAAGGGGGCAGCAGCAATTCAAATGTATCATCTCTAAAATAATAATAACAATTGCGCGGCATCTGTGTGTAAAGATTATTAACTTATTTTTATATTACTATTATCATTCATTAATCCATTTTCTATTCAGCTTAGTCCCTTTATTAATCTAGGGTTGCCTCAGCGGAATAAACCGCCAACTTATCCAGCATATGTTTTACGTAGCGGATGCCCTTCCAGCTGCATCCCATCACTGAGAAATGTTATTATTATTATTATTATTATTATTGTTGTTGTTGTTATTATTAATAGGCTATTTTCTGTAGCAATTTTCTGTAATCCATTTCATTGTTTTCGGGTTTTTTTTTTTTTTTTTTGGGTTACAGCACAATGCCCCATTAACACCTCAGACAGACAAGCATTTGGTTTGAGATGGGGGAAGGGGTCTTCAGTATTTTTCACAAACATAAAAACACAAAATCCCCGGTTACATAACTTTTACCTACCCATAGGCCTGCTTAGTTTATGGAAATGTATGTTTCTATGCACAGCAACTTTTGGACTGAACTATTAGTTAATTAAAATATTTTTATTAGGATCATAGCAATCGCCAAAACATTTTTTGTCATATTTAAAACATTTTTTTGTCATATTAATAACAATGTCATATTTGCATTTGATCCAGACTTGACTGAGCTGATGACAATTATTGACAGTTGTCATAAGCATGCATAAAATCTGTGAACACACCTACAAGTAAAGTGTTACCAAATAAAATGCATAAAACTCACATTTATTTTCCTGTTATAGTTCTGCCAAACCAGTAAAAGCTCCTTTGGCTGGCTTCTGTGATGATGATGAAGCAGAAATTTCTGCAGACCCAAAGCTCCACACTGAGAGCAAACGCAGTGAGCACGTCATCGTCCTCCAAACGTGTCGAAGCTCTCCTAGTGTTCTGACCTGCTCCAGCTCTCCACAGACGGACAGAAAATCCTCCAGACCGGACCCCAACAGAGAGATGTACTATGGTAGAGTCAAGGACTCATGTAATGTCACATCTGAGCTGGAGAGTGAATAGTTTCTGTTTATCGAATAGTTTAACATGTTAGCTTCTGTTTGTCCCTAACCCTACACTGTTAATGATTTTCTGGAGAATCTACAGTACCTTACTGTAAATCATTTACATCGATAATGCTGTATTTACATTTACAGCACCATTTCTCTTGCTGTTTATCTTTTTACAGTATTGTGCCTTTACTGTAAAACATACCTTAATATTAACATTCACCTACAGTAACATTGCTTAACTGTTCTACAGTAAAATTCAGTTCATATTACAGCAAATGCTGTGTAATTGACAAAAATTGTTAACAGTGTAACCCTAACATTTGACGTCTGAAATAAAACAAGATTTGCCTGAAACCTTATACATTCCTTTCGGACCCTGTGTCCATTACAGTGGACATCACATGTCAGCCCATGTGTTTTGGGGTTCCTGAACATTTCATCTAATTTAAAGCCTGCAGTGCATATAGTGGACGAGTGTCATCCAATCAAATGACAGTAAGGCTCGGCATGTTGTAATTTGAAAAAAACCCAGTACATTGAAAAGCAGCACGGCATCACTTCACTACACAGATGTAAGCCACATTTACAATGTTTTTTTTTTGTTTTCAGATTTATCGATATGTTTGCTAATATTTTATAGATTGTATATAAAAAAAAAAAGAGGGATTGCACTTACAAATTAAAAAGTTTAAAATGTTTTGTTACATTGCAAGCTTTAGATCAGGATTTTTTTTTTCAAATATTTCTATCCCGTAGGATGTATAAAGGGTTCAAGATCTGTTAATGAAAATAAATCTCTAGTAATGATGATTGAACTTTATTTATCAGGGTTTCATCAAGTCAAATTTAAGACTTTTTAAAAGAACATTATGAATGAAATCTTAGACTTACACAAAACTAAACACTAAGGATTTTTCTAATGGCCCTGTTAAAACATTAAAAACAAATACTATTGTAAGGAAGATAATTAATCCATTTTGGTAAATAGACTAAATAAATAAAACTTTTGTAAAACTTAAGATGAAAGGCTAGAGATTGGATGGGTGTCCACCCGATTGGACAGCTTGTCACATTAGGAATTGAAACGGAAACAAAAAGGTGCGGATCCAAGTGCAGATTTATTTACAGTGTGCATCAAACAAAAAATAAGGTGTCCAAAGAGCAAAGTACAAATAAACAACAAAACAAGAAACAGAGAAACTGAGACAAGGCTCAGGAATCACAACTCGAAATACTAGACTTACTGGAATCACGGAGACAAGAAAGACAAACGACGCAGTAACAAACAGAGGTGGAATGGTTGAATAAATAGTCCAGGTAATCAACGGAGAATGGAGACAGCTGTGGTTGTAAATCAGTGTAGATGACAGACCGGGTGTGTGTGCGAAAAAATGTATGGAAATGTAGTTCTAAAGTCACATTAGTCCGCTGGGGGTTGCTGGCGAACTACAGTGGTATCTGGTGGACAAACACAGTCATGACACAGCTTTACATGAACATATATGAAAAGTAAGACCTGTTTAAAATGATTTAAGACCTACAACCAAATATTTCAGTGAGTTTAGGACTTTTTGAAAACAGTTTTATTTTTGAAACTTAAGACTTTTTAAGACCCCGCAGATACCCTGTATATAAAAAAAACCCTCATGAAATATCTCAGATGTGAACATTATATGAAGCGAGGAGGAAGATAGAGATAAATGTTTTAATAAACAATGCAATCTATACAGTACAACAAAAAACTAAAAAAATTAAAGTAAAAATGTTACAATCGTCGGTGGCTATAGCCTAGTGATATATTGTGCGCTGACATATAGCACCGATGTGCTCACGGCGACCCGAGTTCGATTCCCAGCTCAAGGTTTTATGCAGATCCTTCCCCTCTTTCTACTCCCAATGCTTTCCCGTCTGAATTATCTACTGTCCTGTAGTAATAAAGGTGAAAAATCCCTAAAAAATTATTTTAAAAAAGTTACAATTTTTATTGTTTGTGATTTTGAAAAATACATTTTTAAGATTATACAAGCAGTCATCTATGTTTTTTTTTTTGTATTTTATTTTATGTTGGTGTAAAGTCACCTGATTCGAATGGTATCACTTGATTGAGTGGGCTTTATCAGTGGTTATCAGCTGATAGGCAGGGGCCTTCTGTGCCTACTAGTAGTCTCAGAAGGCTGTTATCATCCATCCACATGGTTAATCAGCTATAGATCACATACCGCTGCGGCCAAAGTTTACAAGAATTATTTATATTACTTATAAAATTTCCCATTAATTGTATTTTATTAACATCAACCCCAACCCTAATCCCAAGCCTAAACCCAACCCTTAGAGTAACATAATAACAGATCTGGATCTGGAGTCTTTACTATGGACACATTTCGCAAGCCTGTTATGATGCATTAACGGTCATCAGCATTTTAAATCCTTAAGAAGTTTTCAATATTTAGATTTTTTTTAACGTATGCACATTTATAAGTATTTATGAATTTATTAAATTATCTTTGCTTCAAAATACAAAAAACAAATTACAGCTTATGCGAGGCATTTCTAATGCACACTCTCAGAAATACAGGTACGACAGCTGTCACTGGGGTGGTTCCTTTTCAAAGGGTACATATTTGTACCTAAAAGGTCTATATTAATACCCCAAGGGTACATATTAGTATCTAAAAAGTACAAAAGTGTTCCTCTTAAAATTTGTAGGTACTAATATATTGACCTTATTCTAAAATGCGGAAGTGCGCCTGTTTTCGCGATTGTCTTAGAACTTTCGTTTCAGTCGTCTATGGGAGAAATGACAAGGAATAATAAACGGCAAAAAACGGTCAAACTACTTGCTCTACAAACAAATGTTTGCATGACTATACAGACCAAGTAGAATAATATAACAAGGAAATATCAGTTTGCAACATCAAACAGCGAAACGAGCAGTTTTTAATGTGTAAAAATGAATGGAAGTGAATGAGACCGGAAGTCTCATGCCAAAAAGATTCAAATGGCAGCGCCTACTCGTCTGCGGAGAATAAGGTCAATACTTCTAAGGTGACAATATGGACCCTTTAAGTACAAATGTGTACCTTTTGAACAGGTACCACTCCAGTGACTCAAGTGATTTTTATTTCTGAGAGTGCCGCGTCTATGGGGACAGCACAGTAAATTTGACGTTATTCTCTCCTCTGGCTGCTGTCATCAATCTTACACATTTTTTTTTCCTTTTTCTGAAAGTCTTTACAACATAATTGTGAAGTTTTTCCTTTATTATTTGAGCAAATATGATTGTAAAACAATTATTTGTTGTATTCTCACATTCACTGTGCTCTAAGTTTTCCCAACTAAGATGACTTCCGCTACTGAGAAACCCGGAATTGTGAAAAGGGTCTATTAGTATAGCTGATAAACCACAAGAATTATTTATATTATTTACTGAATTTCCCATTAAATGTATTTTATTAATGTCTACCCCAACTCTAAACCCAACCATCACAGTAATGTAAAAACAAATCTGAATCTGGAGTCTTCTCTATTAGTATAGCTGATTAACCATGTGGATGGATGAAGGCCCTACTGGCCCATATCTATCAGCTGATAACCACTGATATCGCCCATACAATCAAGTGATGACATTCGAAGCGAGTGGTAATGTTCGGGAAGTACAACTGTTCTGACCTGATGTCAATTGAAATGAACAAATATATATATATATATTTATATATATATATATATATATATATATATATATATATATATATATATATATATATATATATATATATATATATATATATTAGGGGTGTCAAAATTAATTGTTTCTTCGGTGCACCGCGATGCAGACGCGGACAATTCGGTATCGATTCAGTAATAACCATAACCGGTTATTATGTCATGACGTCATTTATCTCCTATGCGCTCTGTCGCGAGGGAGGTGAGCGCCGTTATTTACAACACTCAATGAGCACCATAGGCAAATGCTTAGGGCGCTATATATCCAGTGGGGCGCCAGAAATGAGCGCGCTTCAGTTGGTTTTGTTTTCGATTTTCCTGACACACATTCAGTTATAGACGGCAATAACTCAAAAAACGCTTACTCTAAAAAGATCTAAAGTGTGTTTCCTACAGAAAGACAAAGCTGGTTATGTTTCACAGCTGTCTTTCTTTTTTTCGCTCGACATTACGAGTAGTGCTCCGTTTAAGCCCTCGCAGTCTGCGTTTACTTTAGCCGTGAGAGCTCGCGCTGAGAGGAGCTCTCTGTAAGGGACCGTCGGAAAAGTGCTTATTTTTTTCGTTTTTCTGCTCCGCTCAGCGCGAGCTCTCCCTGTTGCAAGGGCTTAAGTGTGTATGTTTGTGTGTGTGTGTGTGCGCGTGTGTGTGTTTGTTTGTTTGATGCTGTCTATGTTTGTAAATGTGTTTGAATGAGAGACAGTGTGTTGCTGTGTGTCTGTGTGTTTATACAGACAGCATGTTATAGCCTCCCCCCTAAAATATAACACTAAATATGGAAAGCATCGTCAATGCACCGTGATATCGAATTGAACCGAATCGATGGCATGATAATCGTAACCGAACCGTGAGACCAGTATAGGTTCACACCTCTAATATATATATATATACTTAAAGGGTGTTGAATTTGTATTATTATAATTTGGTCTCATTTATAGGAGCCTTAAGAACTGTCAAAACATACTTTCACATTTCTCAGAAACTTGGATCCTTATTTCGGGAACAAAAATTAAATAAAAGATATAATTCTTTAAGTTTAATGGTCATGCTTGCTATTTCAAGTTATCCTAACAGGATTTTTAAAGCCTGTGCTCTAGTTCATGAGGTATTATGTGAAGAAGAATGGTTTAAAAATTGTTAATCGTGTAATGTACATCTGTTTGTTTAAGAACACTGATTAAAATTAGACACTCCACTGTTAATCTGTGCCCATGAACTATATCAGCCTTACTTGAGAGGTCTAAAACAAATTATTTACTAAAAAAATAAATTAAATACTAAAAATATGATTCCCCACAATCTTCAAATTATCTTATTTTTGTGTGTTTGTGACTCAGATCAGGTCACAGAGGAGCAATAAACATGCCATTGAAGATGATATTGTACAGAGCCTTGTGGATAAACACACTTCTTTCAAAAGGTGCACACATACACACACACACACACAAACACATCAAAATGACTAAGATGGTTGTAAAAATTCCATCATAATCTGTTAGGCTACTTGTCGTATAATTTATTGTTTATTTATTTAAAGATTTTCAGTATTTTTATACACATTTTCAAATTATTAATAAACAGCTCAGGCTTGTAGATTATACATTTATTTGTAAGAGAACAGATGAACAGAGA